GCGGCCGGACCCCGCGCGGGCCGCGGACGAGCTCCTGCGGCTCCGCCAGCAGCTCGCCTTCCGGTACTACCGGCCCATGCACGCGCCTGTGCACGGCTTCAACGTGGTCTCGGTGCGCATCCCGGCGGAGCCACAGCTTGCGCCGTGGTTCCTCCGCGCGCGCGACTACTGGGAGCTGCTCCAGCAGGGCCGCGTCTGAGGCGGGCGGGGGACTGCCCTTGCGCGCTGCTCCGTGGCGGGCCGGCTCAGCTCCGTCGGATGAGGGCGTGTGGTGCGGGCCTGCCTGTTGCGTTGGCGACGGGGCCGCCAGGCGCGTTTGCCGGTGTCTGGCCCGAAGCTTCGCTGCAGGACGGAGCATGGTCCCGTTTTCCATCGATACGCCCTGCTTTCCGTGGGCTATCCTGGTCTCCGTGGAGTGGCCCTGCTTTTCGTGGAGTGGCCCTGCTTTTCGTGGAGTGGCCCTGCTTTTCGTGGAGTGGCCCTGCTTTCCGTGGAGTGGCCCTGCTTTCCGTGCGGAAGGAGTCGCTGGGACTGTCTTTAGCGTGGGTCCTTGGCAAGCGGACCCGTGGTGTACTCGTGGGAGCGACTGCGGCGCGTTTCCTAGCTTTGATTGGTTCTTTTCCCGAAACCAGGCCCTGGCTGTCTGTGGGCCATAGCGGAGCTTTCTTTGGCCCCACCTGAGCTCTTCTGCGTGCCGTGATAGTCCATGACTGGGTGCCAACAGCAAGCTCTTTATCGCCTGGAATGCCGGCATCTTACCCCCTGGGGCTGCTCCTTTGGGCTGCCGGACTCGCTGTTCCCTTGGTGCAGTTCTCCCGCTCACAATACTACTAGAAGCTCCTGGGCCACACCGCATCCGAACTCCGACAGCCTGTTCGGTTCTTTTCCCGTGTCTCTCTTCTATCAGTGCTGGCTACAGGCTTGCCAGCTATTGCGCTGGACACCTGCCGCTCACATCACAATCCTAGTCACCCGCCGCGCAGGTCTAGCGGTGCCTTGATATCTTGGTGAAAGGACTGGTAACTAGAGGCGGGCTTCTGTGGATTATGATGGTAAATGCCCAGCGAAGCCCAGTGTTGCAAAATGTGCCGAATACGAACGCTAGTGTACGCATGCTATTATAAGAAGCATAGCATGGGCCTTTCTTCCCGTTCAACGTAGCGCACGGCAAGAGAATCCCCTGCCTCTTTTGGGCACTACAGCTACTCACCCTTATTGAAGGTGTCAAACTCTGCCACCAACGGGCCGAACTTCAAACCATCAAATACCATCCCTTCGCAGATGATGTTAATGGTATAGATGACTACAAAAAAGCAAAGAACCAATCACAGCTTTCGAGCGAGTGAGCAGTAGCAGTATGCTACCAAAATTCAAAACTATTCGGCCATTGAAGCCATGCCAAACTCCAACAAGATCATCTTTGATTCCCCAGTCTTATCGTTTCAAAGATTTGCTGGGGTATCAGGGGGCCAACTGGGCAAAACCTACAGCCGATTCATGACCCGCCAAATGGCATGTGACAGCCTCGACTTGAAAAGCCATGCACTAGGGACGAACATGTTTGTCACTTCCGAACCGGTGCACAAAGATCTAATTCGATGTATGACTGCCAGAAAACTTGACAAGTTGATATCAAAATTCAAGCAATCCACACGAAAGTTTACGCGAGTCCTCACAACGGAGACTATGGACTCATCGAACTGGTGCCAAAACTTTAAGGGCATCGCGAAATGCTGTGGACACATATCCTCCAAATGAACAATAGCTGGTACACCCAGTACCTTCAAATACGAATGATTACATGAAAATGTCGGATCAAACATTTCAGGCTACAAACTATTGCCACTCCCGATGAGTACAGCTTCTTGTCCGAAAAAACCACTCTTCACACGCTTGGATTGCAATTTTACGAGAAGAATTCACATATTTCGAAGCATGGAAAGAAGTCGTCCTAGGACAAGGCGATACCCTGGCGATAGCGCAAGATACAATCATGAGCAGATCAAGCAAATGCTGATGAAACTCCACGGCTCGAAAAAGGAAAGAAAGCTGTTAGTAAGAAGACTTTCAAATGCTTGAGCCACTCCCGATAATGCCACAGTGCCTTGGGTGAAGCGAGACAACCCAACGTTCATTCATCACTTCAATGACAGATCATTTGTCCGCCGCAGGACCCTAAACCTTGCATTTCCAATGTCATCTTTGCACCCCACATCCACAATGGAGACGCCACAGACGCTTTGCAATCCATGTCTACAACAACCGCGAATCGTCCTAATACTGGTGACAAGAGCCAAGGACTGAGATACTAATAGTGAGGCTCATACTTCTAACGCCAGCTCTCAGGTGATTTTGCATTCACAAAAGTCTTATTTATATTGCAAGAAGGCTTCTCTCTGCAAAGAAATCAGAAGGCTCCTCTCTGCAAAGAAATCGTACAAACATTTCGATACATATATTCTGCGTGCGTCTCTTTATACCGCGGGCTTGGGTACCCTTGGAAACCCTAAAATATGCCAAGCCCGTGGGTTTGAGCGCAATGGGCTCCGGCCAAACATTTTTTGGAGAACTAAATTATATTCCCGATTCCCAAGATATACACTTGAAGTTGTGGCGAGTCACAGGGAGTAGAAACCATGAGTCCCCTTCAACCATCTGAGTTGAAGCGACCAATACAGGACACTTGTCCTGGATAGGATGACGTGATCCCCAATCCGCAAACAGATACGGGCCAAGGGGACGTCCAGGCCGTGACTAAGGGAAGTGGCGGCCGAGTTTCGACACTTGGTACGTATCTAGAAGCTTTATAACGGTTTCTTATACATATCAATTGCGTAGTTTTCTTTTTATTCAGATGTATCTACCAAAGACAAAAACATCGTGTGCTGGTAAATCGATGCACGAGAAAGGTATGCAATAACGAACCCTTCATACCCTCGTCCAGACTCCAGACCTTGCTCCCACAGCACGTTCCAACAGCCTCTGGCCGAGCACACTTTTCCAAGCCCTCGGGAATGGCTAGTGGCATTCGCTGAACGGCGTCCGGTCAACTAGTGGCCATTCCATATATCGTGTCTTTGCCTGATATTGAATCCACCCACGCCATGTCCGCGATGCTGAACTCTGCAGGTACATTGTCTTATATGCTCCAGACTTGCGCCGTCACAAGGAAATTCAGCCTGGGCCATCACAAGGAAATTCAGCCTGCACCATCGCAAGGAAATTCACCCTGCGCACACCTGCGACGTGCTTCTGGGATCGGATCCAACAGTCCCCTGAAAATGAGTCCCTACGTATAGACCGCTTCCGCCCCAAGTTCATGTCACAAAGGGTGCTATAGGCTAGCGTTGGGATCAGACAAACGCCGCATGCGCCGGCTGAATCCCAAATGAAATCCACCAACAATATCCCCAAAACCCTGGTCCTTGCAATGGTATATCGCCGTGCCCTGATGTCCCAAGCCACCATAAGGCGGCAACGCCGGCGGCCCAAGGCTTCTGCGTTTCGGCGCAAACCACTACCATGCAGTGCCCTGCACCCACACGGCCGTGGCAGCTTGGAACCCCGTGCCCTCTACATCAGCCGGCCACTAGTTTCCCCACGTGGGTCTACTTGAAGACTCGCCACTATAGGACCCGCCGTGCATGACCCTGTCCCGAAGCCGCTGGCCCGAGGAATTGCCGCGGGACCCCGCGGAGATCAGCGCAGGCTGGGGCGCCGGGCTCAGGCTCGAGTAGCCGGACCCCGGGAGCGAGTTTTGCCGTGTTTTATTGTACATTTGCTGCAAGCGCGAGTTGGTGCGGCGGGCGTACGGCCGCTCGTCGGGCTCGGAGTCCGGCACGGAGGCTTCGCGGCTGGCGGGCGCCGAAAACGCCGAGGTGCCGCTGTTTTGTGGCTGCTGCACGGAATTGTACGACGCCCTTACGGGCTGGAACCGGGAGTTTGGAGTGGTGGCCGGCGCAAGCGGGTCCGGGCCGGGACCGGCCGCCGGGTGGCGGCCCCGGCGTTTGCGCACGTGCTCCTTGACGCCGAGCCATTCCGGGAAGGGCTCGTTGCGCGATTCGTAGAAATTCACGAGCGCCTTGTGGATCAAGGTGTCGTCCTCCGAGCTGCCGTCCTTGTCTGAGTGGAGCAGCGACGAGGCCACGGAGAGACTGGAGAACTTGGAGTTGATTTTCTCCATGAACGAGCGGCCGGGCGCGGCGTTGGGCTGGTACTGGCTCATGGTTCTGGAGGTGTATTATAGGCGAGGATTGGTGGTTTTGAAGCTGAGGGAGAAGTCGCGATAGGGTGTGCGGCGCACGACCCGCGGGGGTGTGGGGTAGAGTGCGGCTCTGGTGCTCAGCCAGGGCTTGGATGGTGCCTGTTTTTGGGAGCAGGTGTGGGCAGACTCTGGAATTGGGTTGCTTTTTGGTTTGGAAGTGGCCGGTTTTGGAATTATTCTGGGATGGGCTTTGATCTTGGAATGGGCCGGGGGGGAAATAGTCTTTATAGATGGTTTCATGGAAATCGTGGATGGTTTCATGGACATCATAGATGGTTTCATGGTCATCATAGGTGTCTTCATGGAAATCATAGGTGAGTTTCATGGAAATCATAGATGGTTTCATGGAAATCATAGGTGTTTTCATGGACATCATAGGTGTCTTCATGGAAATCATAGGTGAGTTTCATGGAAATCGTAGATGGTTTCATGGACATCATAGATGGTTTCATGGTCATCATAGGTGTCTTCATGGAAATCATAGGTGAGTTTCATGGAAATCATAGATGGTTTCATGGTCATCATAGGTGTCTTCATGGAAATCATAGGTGTTTTCATGAAC